AAAATACATTGTATGTTTACAAACGTTGGCAAGTAATCAGGAAACTTAAATATACTAGTATGTTTAATCTACGATATTATGTTAGATGCTCTAATTATTGAATCTAATAGACTATGACGTATATTGACTTGTTCCAAAGTACAGGATTATTACTATACTATGTAATACTGTAAAAAAAAGTTTGATTTGTATAATGTAAGAGGGGTAGGGGGTAGTGTTTCAAAGGAACGATTTACACAAAATTAAGTTGTCATCTCATCAATGGCGACGGATATTTTGCTACATCAATTTAGCCCACTGTCTAGGCTTGAGCATACACGCGTGCAGTAAAAATGCAATTGATCATATTTCAACGTCATGCCGGTTCTTACGGAAAAATAAAAAAAAACTGAAAAATTTGCATTAATCATTCTGTCTCTTTTGTCGGTTTTATTTACTGACAAACACACGTCGCGTCGGTAGTATCGAACTATATATTATAACAGCTATAGATTTATTTAAATATTATTATATGTTCGATGTTCCATATAGTTCCATCCATTCCAATGTAATAAAAAGAAAATTAAGAAATATAAAAAATAAATCGCAAGATTTGATAAATAACCGTACAAACGTACTTACTTAGGTCCTTTCACACTTACACGGCAACACGGGTATACATGTCTACTGTGTTAACTTTGAACCGTGTGGACTCGCAATTCGGACACGGCACCACTCGCGATAACATATAATATTACACAAGTAAACCGTCACGGGAACTGTGTATTTGTGAAACAGGCCTGATTAAGTTACTGGAAAGCATGTAAAAAACATGTGCGTTATGGAATTCCCCTTAATATATAAAACTCTCAAACTGAACAATATTTTTGAGTGTAATTAGAAGTATTCCCCGAGCAATGATATGAAATTAAGCTGTATACCAAATAATAATATTATTCTTTCAATGCAAAATAATATAAATGCAGGTTATGGTTTAAAATAATACCCTGAAGCTTATACAAATTAGCCGGTAAATTTTTTCTTAAATATTGCCTATACAAAACTCCTTTAAACAGACCGCATGCAATACCCTTCAGAGAGAATTTCTAATAATTTGTCTTTTTAACTCATTACAATTTTGAATGAGGTAAACCCCCCCCCCCGTTCATAACACTTACATGTTTTCGGGTAATTTTATAGCGGACGGTAGTCTTTTTCAGATCGTGGGGGTTTTAGTATTTTAGGATAATATTATTTATCTATAGGCCTATTTAATATAAACTGGTTATCGACCATTCAACATTTTTAGCAAATTATTCTTAATTTTAAAAATGTATAAAATATGTACGTTACCATTTAAACTTTAAAAGTTGATAAAGCTCTAGAAAATACTAAAAGAGGTAAAAATTAAAATAGTGTCTAACATTGTAGTATTAGCATTAACAAAAAGAAAAAATACAAAATATCATGTATTTTAATAGAAAAAACTGGTGTAGTATGTTAAAAGATCACCCAGTAGATTAAAGACCGCTTTTGATTTTTAGTTGATCAGAAAGACGTAGTTTCTTCTGTGTTCTTGTTCTTTGTATGCTAGTTGATCATTTTTCGGAATGTCGAAGACCTTAAACACTTTGTTTAATTCAACAAGCTTTTCCTGTATTTCATTTAAAACTAAATTCACCCAACGGTATTCCTAAAAGAATATTTATTAACGTAAATCATATATTCCAAAATCTATGACTTGTTTTCTATTTTACTCAAAATCTATAGAAAATACAATAACTAAATGTAATGCAATTCCAGTAAAATAAATTCCTACGAGCCGTTGAATATTTTACAGAATATCCTGTACATAATATCAAGTAATGCTTTTCATATTTTTGTGTTTGTAGTATACAGCTGTAAATTAATTAATGCAAGAAGAAATGTAAGTTACTCGTTAATATGTTATTAGTTCGGCTACAAACTAAACATTATTGTGTTATTCTTTAGCCGATAACAACGTATTTTGAAATTCTATTATATATGTTGTTTTAACCAAACGCAAAAGAGGTCTGCTCTTTAATGATTTTGTTTGATGATGGAATAATTAAGCCATATTGCAAGCTTGTGAACGGAATGGTTTCTGGCCTCTGGGTATATGTTCGGTGTATATTAACAGTGTTCCTGGTAAACTTTTACTACCGGCAATTTTATCCTGGATTTTATTTTGTATTTGATAATTCCAGTCATACTCCGAGTTCTTGTTATTAAAGGATGGTTCAGTCTATTTTTCGTTTTTCTCAGACTTTTGTCGTGCCTCTCGAAATGGTGGAGGTTTTTTTATAATATTTCGTTCATTAATGTCTACTGTGTTTTTGGGCAATCATATTTTCTTTTTTAATATTTTAATTTATTAAACTATATAAGTATCTTATTTTATTACTTTCCATACTATCATATAGTAGTTCTTCTAAAATGGTTAAAATAGAAAATAACGAATCATTTTGCCAACTCTTCTGTGAACAATAGGTTATGTTAATTTTTAGTTCAATAATCTGTAGATTTCAATCACAGCAATGTATAATAATGCCATAAATATTATTATTAAAACTAATTTTCCAGTACAAGTCTATTTTAGCTTTAATGCTAATTGAAACAACGTATTAATTTTACTATGATGTTTCCTTTTTTTTCTTTTTTTATTTGTGATGATATTGACTTTAAAAAGTAATTTAAAAAATATAGTGTTATGTGAGCTATACGCGAAACGTTACCTATTTGATTTACATATTTATGAATTATGTAGTTTTATGTAGATTGGATACATAGTTATTACTTCTATATATAGGTTTTTGAGTTTCGAACTATTCAGGTTTTAGCTGCATGATATAAATAGCTGTACCTAGTTGGTAGCCAGTACTAAGTATAGTACATAACAGTTTTTTGTATCTTACAGTAATTTCATTTATAATTTGGCGATGAAAATACTCTATAAGAATGCGATTCATTCATAAAAATAACAATTATGTAATGCGGGCAGTATAAAAAATTGTTTTTATTTATTTATCAATAATAACTTTTTATTTGTACTCCTATATAAATTCCTAATTTAGTCATTTTGCAACCGTGTTGATAAATGTGGTACATGTTTGACTACTAGAGTTTAAAAACTCACCCTTTCGTCGAAATTCTAATTTGGGGACAGGACATTTGTTACAGCTGTATAAACTTAAAATGAACATGTTATTATCTTGATTTCATATATTATGTTAATTTGTTAAAACCAACATAGAATTTGTTTAAATTACCCCTCGTTAATTTATTCCAAATGGTTATGTATTCGTATTGTGTATTGTTCTCTGAAGTTAAACATCGTTCATTCACTTCGTTGGCTAGAAAATGGGCTGTAAACATTTTTTGACAATGTCAACAAGTCTTAAAAGTCACGTAGCCTAAAATATAAATGTGCTTTTTAGCTACATCACTACGGCATAGTCCGTGAATGTGGAAAATTTCACAGAAAATAATTTTGAACATTTATAATACCATACAGATACATGTACGTCATGAATAATATAATCAATTCCACACATAATAGCTCATATGCATGTATCACACCCGTGCATTATTATTCCATCGATATAACGTACATACACGTATATAGGCGTTATTTTTGACAGTATCTTAAGTACGATTTATAAAATAGCACTAAATACTGTATACAAAGTCCGAATTTTGGAGTTATTTTAGCTTCGATGCCGAGCTGAGAAGGTATTGTTTATACAATGATGTGTTTCTTTTTTTAATTTTTTTTTTTTTGTGTCTGGACCCACAACATTACGTAAACCGCTGAACCGATTTCTTCGTATAGCAACTCTATAGATCAGAAATCATACCTGGAAGGTACTTTAGCGGGCCGAAAATTAAAAAAAGTCACCCCTTCCCTATCAAAATCGAGAAAAACACCTAAAAAATGTACACATTTTTCAACTTAAAATTATGATGCTCTATTACTTTTTTAAAAATAGTCAAAAATGTTCCAAATTTATATGAATTATTCTTCAAACACAGTACTATCGATAAACATTAAAAAACCAAAAAAAATATCATTAACCCTTTCCCTTAGAAGGGATAGAATTTTTTTGCTTTATTTCACTTTTTCAAGTAAAGTTTTAGAGATTTAAATCTGAAAATTAGATCAAAGGTAGATCTAAAATGGAACTATAACATATACAATTTTCTCAAAAATCTGTAGTCAATTTTTTTTTTTTTTATCAAGGAAAACCCCCAAAAATAGAATAAATTACCACTTTGGCTGTAGTCAGTTTCTAGGTTGCTATGTGCGAGTGAATCAACAGTCAACAGGTAATGAAAATATTTTTATTATATTGTTAATTACGATATATGGGTAACCATGACAGTAGATTTGTATAGACAGACGATCAACCCTTATCGTATCCACCCTGCACAAGACTAAGTATTAAATTTTAAGTACATTATTGCTGGTCCCGCGATATCTTCTAAACCACTATAACTGGTTTGAACATACTATCCACAAATTCGCATCGAAGCGTTTATTTAAAAGTGATTTTATCACTTTCAGTTATAATAAAATCTGTAGACCTGTGACCTCTCCGTCCCCACTATGCACTATTTTTTGACAACATGTTTTTTTAACTTTAATTTTGCATTTATCAAATATATATCTTAACAATTCGGATGTTTGCCTTTTTTATTTTTGCACAAAACTAAATAATTAATTTTAAGTACATTATTTTTTATTATGTATTTTTTCAACGTGGCGGGGCAGATAAACAATGAAATCGGCTATACGTTCTTCTCGCACTGCTAATATTGATAATATACCATCGTTTAACTATTAATGACCACACTCACCGCTGAGACTCTATATACGGATGGTTCGGCCGGCTCCTGGTGACCCGACGTAGAGGCCGTGCAGTGGCGCTAGCAACGAAAATCCCTGGCGCTAGTACGGCATAGACGACACGACGCTTTACCCAGTCGGTAACTGGCATTGCGACACGCGGTTTTGACGTTTTGCCAATCGCACGCGTCTCGTTATGTCCGCACGTTCACGGAGCGACACGAAAAGTATTCAACGGCCGAGCAACAGGTGTTTTTGATAACAATTATTATTGCCCCGGCCGTTCTTGTGCGGCGGTCACCGCGCTCGTATTACACACAAAAAACACACACTAAAGGTAAATATCATGTTTGCATAGATTATCTAAAATGCCCGTCTTATATACACATAATATGTATGGTGTGATAGACAGTAATAATAATAATATTTTCGGCAACAATCGCAAAGAGTCGATTTTTACAAGTGAGTAAACTGAAACGATGACTTTTTTTTACACAGTTGTGTATGTACGAAAAAAAAACCAGATACCTAATTCTGACAAACTAATTGATTAACTCTTCGCTGTCTTATTTCTATCGACTTTATAATTGATTAATTGTTCCCTATCGCAAAACCGCGAAAGTCTCATTTTCGAAAATGTTTGCACTTAGGTCGTTGTTCTTTGTGTAATATAAACATTTGAAAACCTAATAAACCCTTTTGCAAAGTTACGACAGTCCGTTGGGATGCCAATAACAAACGAGATAATTACCATTATTATTTTTCGCCCTAGTCCAAAGTTTTCTAAAGTGGTAATGAAAATATGTGTCAATTGGTTTATTTAAAACATACCGTAGATACAATAAAATGCGGTACAGAGCCGGCTAACTTTTTTTTGAATACTTTTAGTTTTCATTGTTATTATTATTTTTTTTTTATCGAATTTACCTAAATATGAGCACGTACTACGGTTTTAAGGAGAAACTAAGCTGGCATTGGCATTTTACCAGGAATCTGCTTAGTAATTTTTTAAGCTGTTCGAACGATACAAATTTTCTTTGCAGTCCCCGTTTGTCATACTTCATTTAGTTTTACTTCGTATAATAATATTGTTTCCGACGACATTGTTTAAGCTTCTCGCGCGTTTTCAATAATTTATATTGACACATAAGATAAATTATTTTAAATGTGTTTTACGATATGTTAAACATTTTGAATTAGAAAAAAGTAAACTATATAAATTACATTACAGCAGCGTCATTTCAGCCTTTTCATTTTGAGCAATATAGTGACAGTTCTATGGGCTTATGGTAAAGTTAACAATCATAAATCCGTTTGCAACTTATCTCCTTACTGAGATTCATGTTAAAGATGGCGATCATTTTTGAAGGACTCACATAGTAGTTAGTTTAATTTTTTCTTCTCCCTTCTTTGTATGTCATTTAAACATCTAATACAAATAATTGAAATAGCATTATATAACAAATGACACACGATTTTGCATAGTTCCCACATATAGAAATGCAAAAGTTTAAGTTTTTATTAAAAAATAACTATTATAGTCTTAGTTACTCAAATGCCTACTATATGTATATTTTATAAAAGAAGTAACTATTAAATAAGTGGATGAGCGAATTCACTAATGATAAATCAAAAGTTACACTATCTATATAATATAGGTGTAAACTACAGTATGTTGGTATAAATTGTCATTATTAAATAAATATTATATAATCTATCGTTAGTTTTAGTGCATAATTGATATGTAATAAATACTAACCTTGAATATTATACTCATATATTATACTATGAAATCTACAAATTCAGTGTTCTGTTCACATTAAAATGTATAACATTTTTACACATTAAATAAATATGTATTATGCGGTTTAATAAAAGGAAACGAATTGTCTTCTTAAATTATGCAATTATGACATTTAAGTAATTAACTTTAATCAAATATAAAGAATTACCCATTACACGGGTCCACTCGATTTATAACTATAATCTAAGTGTGATATAACACAAAGTACGAGTATTATAACTGGTTTTATAATAATATATCAATTTATAATTCCGAACATTATTTCCCAAGTTCTGGGTAATTTGTTTAGTCTAAATCAATGAAAAATCAAAATTCCTGTTTAATATGAAACTGAATTGAATAACTGAGTAATATAAGCTCATATTAAAATGTTTCTCTCGAAACGAACAGTGATACTTTTTATAATAGTTTTAATATAATTTTATGAACAAATATTTAATAACAATGTATTTTGCGTAAATTTATGAATATTAATATTAAAGTTCACAAGCATTTAATATGAATATTATATTATATTATTGTGTGATAACACATTCTATACGTATTTATTTTTTTCTACGATACAATACAGTTGTTTGAAATTATTAAACAATATTTTATTTAATACATATTATCGAGAAAAATATTATGTTTAGTATAAAATCTAGACAATAAAACACTTTATTTCAACACGGAAAAACATTTAAATACTCTTTTATACTTCTACTTAATATCAAAATAATTAGTTTATTAAACAGTACTTGAAAAGCTAGAACGCGAGACGGAGGGGGTGGCGGAAATTAGTTATGATCATTTTATTACAATGTGTACAAGTACAATTATTATTGTTGTATTATAAATAGCTTACTGGTTGTACACGTAACTGTGTTACGTCGTTTATAATTTGTACAGTTCCCAATCTAATCGCAATAAAAAAATTTTATCAAATTTTTTGTGACGCCGAAAAAATAAACTTGTAAATTATTTATTTAATGGTGTTGGATAAAGTAATTCATCCCTTTAGTTTCCTTTTGTAAATAACCTAATGTGTCATGACTAGTTAAAAAAATCAAAATAGATTTATTTTCGGAGGAGACCTTGTGGTTATCAAGCATGGAAATGGGCTTAAACTTTAAAGTTTAAACCGAACCGGTGGTAATTGTATCGTAAAATGATCATAGATTCGACAATAGTTATTACTTATCAGTCGACATTTACGAAGCATATTTGGCAATCATATTGTCTGGTTTTATCTTATTACATGCTATATAAAACAAATACATATTTATACAATGTAAATAGTATTTTTGCTCTAATGCGGAGCTGAGAAGGTTTTGTATTTTTAATGAAGTGTTCTTATTATTAATTTTTTTTTTGTGTCTGTACCCACGTTATCTTTGTTGATCGGCTGAATTTCTTTGTGTTGCAACTCTGTAGATCATAAATCGTACCTGTAAAATCGAGAAAAACATTAAAAAATGTGTATAATATATTTTCAACTTATTGGACCACAGGTTCGCATCGAAACGTTTATTTAAAAGTGATTTTATCACTTTTTTAGCATTTCGGTTTAAATTTACCATATCCAATTCTCTAAAGGTAATATGTAACACTATTTAGAGAGTGCCCTTTTTCCAATTAAAAAATAAGTGAGAATAATTACACATTACACCTCCTTGTCGTTAGTTCCTGCTATCGGTAGGAAATAATAACCAGAACTAGGTAATAATGTCATTTCCTTTTTATATTAAGTATTGTCATTATATTAATAGACATAACCCATTCAAGATAAACGTTAATAAAATTTGCCATTGACGGTGTGTGGACGTGGACGTATGTTTTTTTTTAACCCTCTCCTAAGAGGAATAAGGAAACGTGGCATTATTTATAATTATATAACACAATTAATATTACTTGTTCGTGTGCCTTAAATGTTGTTTATCGTCTATATTAAATGTGTGATACTATTATCTGCACTCCAGGGCTCCTATCTCGATTTTCGAGTAATTTGGTGCTAAATAAAGACATGCTGAGCGTTAATGCTCTTACTCCGTGGATTTTAACAATATTATTTTCTTGTCGTGTCGGTAAAATTAATCAAAATCATAATCGTATTACTTAAATAATTATTATTATTTATATGATATTTTATATTATCATAAAGTGTTATAAACAGTGTTATTTGACTTCGACGTATGCTGAGAATAGCTCGCACTTAACACAATATATATTTTTTGTCATTACGATTGTTTTTAAGTATCATATATATGGGTAACTCTAATTCTGGTGTTCGTATGATTTAGGTCAAAATACGTCAGTTCCATTGTAGATTGTACATACTGTTAATCCACTTTGTTTTCTTTAACACTATGTGTTCTGTCGGTAGAGTATACTGTTAATTCAGAGATTTGGGCATGAACCCAAGACGTTCATTTCTCAATCTGCTAAAAACTAAAACTTTATTATAAATTATTCTTTAGGAATTGCTACTTATTGTTAGTGAAACATGAAAAGAAATTCAAATAACGTTCAACGCTTCTTTTCTGTTAAATAATTATAATCTAGGTAAATTAGTACTGATCTCAAAGTAAAACTTGTAGAATTTAGAAATGTATTTATATGTTTTATAGTTCTAATAATCTATTTAAATAAAAAAATAATGTTTTGATAAAGTTCAACAGTTTAGAATGAAAACGTAATTTGTTCTAAACATATTTAAACTTATAAAATTAAAATAATTCGTAATTGTTTCATAATGGCCCGGTAGGTTGATTGTAAGCAAATACCCAAAAAGCGATATTTTTTTATTAAATAATCGCCAATTTCTAAATTTAACTGAAATCGTTTAATTATAAAATACTCATGAATGATACAATTAAAAGTGAGCAAAATGGAAATTATATTTGAAATGACTTCTTATGGATGATGCTCATTGATTTTCTTCGATAGCTCTTTCAAAAATTTATGAAAAATTAAAAAAAACACCCACATTAAGTAAAAGCTCTCGTTGATAAAATATGTCTTGATCAAAGACTTCTTTTTAAATAATGTCACTGTTATCCTCTTGGTTCTCATCACTTTAACATTTATACTCGCATAAACTTTTTTGGTTCTTTTCTACAAAATAGATTGTATATGAGTTAATAACTACTCCCTTTTCTACTAGACGATCCGGTTTCCACTCTTTAAAACTTCTCATATTTTTGTAAAAAAAGTTATGGCGTTATTACTTAATAATGATAAAAGTATGTATGAACTATATATTCTTTTAGGTTGAGTCAAATTAAATATTGTTTTTAGCCACAACGTTTAATTACTTATACAGTACACTTGATTGAGTAAAATAAATATAAATGTATAAATTAACTCGTTTATTTAAAAAAAAATGTATCCTTTTTTTAGGGAGACTACACCTACATGTTTTTAACATAGAAAAAATAATTATAAATGACTTTTATTCAGTTAAATTAAATATTATTAATTTAATTTAAAAATACGTATTAGAACTTCAATAAAATAGTTTAAATATGTCAGTATTTTATTGAATATGAATG